AAATGATTCTTCCTACTGTGGTTAGAAATTGTACATACAATGTACTATGTTAAAAAGTAGACATATAACAAACAGCAGTTAAAAGGATGATGATTATGGTCTTTCCTTCTACCGTCATTTTCTTCCTGGTTCACCAAACAAACTTGGCTGATGGATCCTTTAGGTCACTGATCTTGGTAATTTATCAGACTCTCCTGCTAAGAGGATACGCCGACAAAAAATATTTTGGTGAAAATTTGCTCTGAAACAATAAAATGATCTGCAGCGAGAAATAAATACGGACTACACAAAACAAGCATGTTATGAAAAAAGCTAGCTAGTAGTAGTAGTAAATTGTATACAGGTACTGTAATTCCTGAGCAATATGTACCTAGCCAATCAGCTTAAAGCGACTATAGCAATATTAGATCAGCAAGAGTATAATAATTAATGACCAACTTTATTTTCAAAAATAAAAAATAAAGGGCCAGCTGAGGGAAAAAAAGTGAGAGAAGAAATATCACTCAGAAAAGTGGAAGGACATTTAAATCATATGGGACCTTATATCAGGAATACTTACAATTCTTGTACTAAGTACATCTAGTGCATTGTCCTAAGGACTCATGTATTGGGCTTCAAGCCCTTCAGTCAGATTCCCTTGGGTCCTTCAGTCTCCAACCTTTCGTGTTCTGTCATGTTTTGCCACCCGTGGAAGGTGGATCCTCCTCGCTAAGGTTTACTTTTTAACTTCGAGTCCATGGTAGGTCAATTTTATTTGGTGTAAATAAAAACACCACCATCGTGTCATTTGACTAAAACAAAGAAAACCAAAAAAAAAAAAAAAAAAAAAAAAAACCCCACTTGAATAAAAACACCACCATCGTGTCATTTGACTAAAACAAAGAAAACCAAAAAACAAAAAAATCCCACTCTGATCGGCGTTCAAGCTGTGATACAAATGTGGTCCCTGACCAGCTCCAGTCACCTATAATCGATTCACCTAAATAAATGTACTGTGAACCATTACACCTGTATGCGTTATTTATCTGAAGAGTGTGTTTTGTAATTATCAGTTCGTTCCTGTTCTTAGGATTAGCTAAAGCAACAAATTTGCAAAGCCAGGATAGCTACAGACTGAACATCTGACTTAACACGGTCTGTTACCCACTGACTCGACCAAACTGAGTTGGTCCATTTTCTTGAATGATAATATAAATTTCACATTTCAAAGAACGATTCTTACCTCTGATGATGAGAAGAGGATGGTCGATCTGGTGAAGAACGTTGCCCAGAGCCCCCATGAAATCTATGTTCCTCAAATGTCCTTCCTTGACTTTCCTCTCTAGGCTGTAATTGTTCACTTGTACCTGAAAAACCTACACGACCCAGAGACCCAAACTTGAGCTGTTCACCATAAGAACCATAAGTAGCGTTGCGGTCAAAAGGATAAAGCATCATGACCTGTGGGACGGAAGGTCCATTAGAAGACACTCCACTGGGGTTCATCACCGGAAAAGAATGAATGCCGTGTGCCATATTAGGACCATTTTGGCTAGAATTCAAGTGCAATGGACCATTCTGGGATTGGTAAGAAGGGACAGACCATGATCCGTCAGCTTGATTCTCAATCGAAGCCACCCTGTCCATCCTTGAGTTTGATTTATCAGTTTGGCTGCGATTGTGGCTCCGTGCTGCAGCTCGTGATTTTGAATTAGCATTCCAGTTAGCCTCTCTGTCACCATGGTTGTCGTTCCTATCATAGTTGTAATTCCCCCTTCTAGTGCCAGAAGAGTGGCGCTCTCTTGCAGAAACCTTCTGAAGCAATGAAATTTAAAACAATCAAAAGTAACTACCGAAGTGGGAAATGCCTCAAAAGCAAAATGTAAACCAGTTACTAAAAGAATATTAGAGAACCAGACAAGAAGCGCAAGACAAAAGAAGCTAAGCCCTTGTTTGAGCCCCATTTTTATCGAAATACATTTTTCTCTTTCTACTTTTCAACGACACATTCTTCAATAAAGTAAAATTACACATAAATTGAAAAATTTTCTTTATTTTTCAACCACACATTTTCCAAAAAATAACTGTTCCAAAATACATTTTTAACAAAAAAAAAATGGGCTCAAACTAAATATACAGCCAAAGCAAACTAAAACACAAAGTTGAAAATATATTTTCTAAATTTCAGAGGCCAGTTCCATCCCCATGCACAAAAGTTAATCCAAACCCTGGCATCACAGTAAAAATTATAAAATCATTGGTTACAAACTAATTTGTGAACATTCATTTCCTAATCATTGGTCATCTATGCTCGTTAAGGCCATATAGAAAAGATATGGAGATTGCCTCTCACCTATGTATCAAGCTTGAAAGGATGCTTATATGCATGCCATTATGAAGGTTGTGTTGAGAGAGGATAACAGGAGAGACTTCTTGCTTGAAGGTCAAAAGTAGTTCCCTACTTTTGTACTTCTGGAGCTTTCAGTCCATCCTACTACAACGGATTAGGATGGATTTTTATGAAGCTCAATATAGTTTTATTTGCTTAGCATACACTTCTATATGTTGTCCTTTCTCTTGTAGAAAGAAATGGAAGTAACAACCATTTGTGTGTTGGTGAGTGGAATACTAAGTGCAGGTTTGGCTAAGCTTAAATTACAATTTAAGCTCGTCAACATACTTTTTATCCATACATTTTGTAGGGACTTATAACTACTATCTACCTATTATCTACATATTTCATAGGATCCACTGCTATAAGCACCACCAAACATACTCTTTAAGATAAACCCCCCCAAATAAAATAAAATAAAATAAAATAAAGTTCTAAAAAATGTTATAGCCAACATGTAACTGAACAAGTATGATAAATTATCTTACAGGATTCGGCAGGTAAGTCCCAGTCCCGCTACGATATCTTGGCATATCATCGATGTATCTTGGATAAACATATGGAGATCTGCTGGAAACAGACTGAAGAGGAGAAACTGGAACTAGCCGTTGACCATGACTCGCAAGCTGAGTGAAATGATTCGTGCTAGCTGAAAGTGGTCTTCCAGGATTATCATATGGGAAATGATCCTGCAGATAAACTGGTGGGACAATTACAGGTGAAGGATATATTATAGGTCCGTGGGAACGTGGATTTTGGCAAAACCTTCCAAATTGCAAATTTTGCCAATGGCTGGCAAAGTCACTGTTGAGAATATCAGATTTTTGCTCATTAGATGTCTCGATGGTAGTTGTCCCCCTCAAGGCACTAGAAGAATTTAAATCCTCAGACTGGTCAAAGCCCTCAGAAGGACTATAATTCTGACCAGAGTCACTGTTATCCAAGCTTTCATCGCCTCCAAAATGGTCAGTTGATTGATCAGATATTCCTGTCTCAGGAGGAATATTGTATACTGGAAGCATTACAAATGGGATTGGAGGCCCAGTAGCATAAAATGCAACAAGCCCATTGTTATCCATCATCCTCTGTCTAGAACCTGGAGCTATCAGCATTGGGGAAACGGGGATCATCGAGTTTGATCCACTTGTCTGAGCAACTTCAAAGCCAGGTACAGGATGCCTTGGAACATGCAAAGTTGCAACAGATTGAGAAACCGAATTTTGTTCTGCCATTTCAGTCCCCACATTCGATAGTGCAATCCATTCCTGATCATCATCTTCAGCCTGATTTGTTATACGCTCAGAAATAATTTTGCCTTTTCCATGGCCAATGGCCGGATCAGCAGAAACGATTTTCTTTCCCCGTCTATCATTTGTTGACTTTGGGCTCTTTACTGATGGTCCATCCCAGGAACCCTCTGAAGAAGCTCTACTTCTCAAAGAACTACTGTGAGTAGCAGAAGGGAACCTTGAAGCTGCAGGTCTTTCTTCCCTGTAAGCCTTGCTACCTCTGACATTGCGAAATGGGAAATTATCACTATCCTCCCTCATTGATCCATGTTTTTCTTTGGTATGTTTACTAATTCGAAATGGAGGGATATATTTCAAACTGGAAGATGTTGCCTGTGGTTTATCATCGGACTGAATCATTTCAAAACTTCCATTATCAGGGTCGTAGCCACTAGTGGAGCCAACATCCTGCTCCTGAGAGAATTCATTATCTGCTTCCATGGGGTTCATTCCCACAGCATCAAAGTTTTCATTACTTTGCTCCAGTGCATCTTCAGAATGTGACCCCCGATCAATGCTTGGGAAATAATGAGCGAATGGAACCAGACCATGAGGAAATTGCAAATTTGGAAAAGAAGGATCAAATACAGGAATATTTGCAGGAAGCAATCCTGGTAGATTCTGTTGACCATATCCCCTTGAAGCTAACAAGGATGGCGAGATCGGGAAAGGCATTTGACCATATGATAGGTTGAATGGCAAGTGAAGCTGACCGTTAAAGCCATGAAGTGAAGCGGATGCCATCATGTTGACAAGATCTTGTTCTTCCTGGTGCATCCCCCAGGTTCCAGAGGTTGAGGAAAGATCTTCATTTGATGCATCCAACCCAGAATCTCTTTGATAGCTATGTGAACTGTTATTAGAGTCAGCAGCTGTATCTAGACTTTGATGGGATAGCATGTGACTAGCGGATTGAGTACTGTGAACTGAGGATTGACTGTTATTGCATGCTAAACCTTCAGATCCATGGTTCTTCTTCCTGTTACTACTATCAGGCCTTACAGAAGTAGCATGTGCTTTCGCACTTTCAGTGGATCTATTACCCCGTACTTGAGATGAAACATCACTATATGTGTCAGTAAGCTCTGGGCTTGAGCGTGTTCTGGCAAAAAGAAACTTTCCCTGCAAGTCATTCAACAAAAGATCAGGTTTCAGATCTCTTCGACCTTTCTCATTATTCACAACCTGATTGGAAGTAGAATCTCTTCTACTTGGTCCAGAACCCCTCAAGCTATTCAACATGATGTGATTTTTTAAGCTGTGAGTTTGAGAAGCTGCGGAAAACCCACTTTTTCTAGACATGCTTACAGGTGAATAATTACCAGAGGACCTGCCATTCACTTTTTTGCCAATCGCATCATTCTTTGAATTATCAAATTCATGAACGCTCTCTGGAGTCGATAATCTCAAGTGCCACAAATCGACGCCTGGTGCATCAGGCCGATTTCCGTTGCCATGCCTTTCCCATGTATTTGTGAAGAACTGATTAACTTCATAAATTACATTTTCTTTGGTGCAGTCAAGTAATCTAGCCAGTCTTTTAGCACCAAAAGCAAATGCGCTCCGTATTCTAAAGAAATTACCTGTGAACAAAATTATCAGCTGCAAGTAAACTATAAGAAGTAACGGAAAATGAATTCTACCCACAAGAAATATAGCATTAAACAACCAGTGAATTTAGACAGGAGATAAAAATAAAAGAACTGCAAGTACATAACCTAGATTTTGCAAAAGGAATAATGCTGGCTGTTGCAAAATAAAAAGAAAAAGGACTATATTTGTTTGATAAAAGAATTCAGATAGAACCAAGTTTGACAAATTAACACTTATACTGAACATACAAAATCAACAGTATTAGACTGCAACTCTGAGACTTGTCATGACCACTTACATAGTCCATTGTCCAAATCAGCTCAAATTGTGTACGGGGAAACAGCATATTGACTTTGGATGCAGGAGTTTTTTTCTTTATTATTTTTCCTTTTTTTTCCCCATTGGGGAATGGAAGTGTTCAAGATAATATGGTGCTCCTCCAGCTGTCCAAAGACCTTGTGCATACCCCTTTCTACAGGGCAAACAGATTCTTTATGCATACTTGTGAGCACCTCAAGTTACAAACAGATTTTCCCTCATGCCCATTTTCCCCTCACCCTTCCCAGGTACCTTGTTCTCATTCATACTCTTAATACCAAGATGAAACACAAAAATACTAGTTCATCACGTCATCCAGTTGAAATGTGATCTAAAATCAATTTCTGATCGTCCACTGAACTTGACATCGAAAGAAGATTACATAATTTCTCAAAGAATTTTTGAAACTTCACATTATTCAAATCTTTCATTTCCACATGGTTCAAGATTACTTTCCCTTCGGCATAACTAAAAGTGATAACAGTCACAATTCTACCAATTCCAGAGTAAGATTAGCCTTAATTGCCATCGGAATCAACCAAAAAATCTGGCTACAGCCTCTGATTTCGAAAATTTGATTTAACCCAGCATATAAACGTGTCAACCAATGAGTAAATGATTTCCTCACAAAATCCTCTTCGGACATCAAAATTTACCCATCTTTATTTTCTTCGCTTTTCTTCTTAAAACCAAACAAAAGAAAAGAAACTGACTTCCTCTGTCTTTCTTACCTAGCGTTCTATTTCTACTTTCCCTTCTCTTTCTGTCTTTTCCCTCAGAACCAAATACAATATAATACATTTTAGCCCTAACTGGTAGTAGGCAGGCATGCTATATTCTGTTATTAGTATGTTTCTTCTCCCCTCTTTCTTTTCAGGCTACGTAAATTTGATGATAAGCATGCATACGGACTATATGAGTACTAGACTAAGGCATCCCTCTGTAAAGTCCTCAGAACATTATTTAAATTAAGACAAGGGGAAACTGAGAAAGCTGGCATTCAACAACCATTGATTGAAAATTTAAGGAATGCATACACATTTACGGCAAAGCTGACAAGTGGAAACCTATTTATTGGCCACATAACACAGTTCTCTTTCAGTGGTAGAGGTTAGGTATTCGTCACAACAAATATAAACAAGTCTAAGTAAAGAGCTCAAAAATACAGAAAGTTAAAATATTATCTTTAAATTTTCAGAGCTTAGACAAAGAGAGAACAATAGGAAAGTTTAGGCTTCATGTACCTTTACTAACACTACGTCCAAGGTTGTTGTTCACGCGTAAAGGATCAATCACATTAAAATGTTTGGAGACAAATGGCTGTCCATTATTTTCATGGCCACCAGGGAAGACAGCATACACAGAGCTACAACCATCAAGAAACAATTTGCTAAGGAGCAATTCTCCACTGTCCTTCCGAGGAGGTTCCGCTATAAAATATTTCAAATTAAACCTCACAAATCAGCCACCATGTCCGATAAATAGTTGCAACATATTAAATAAAAAGTTCCCAAAAATTTATTACCAGTTACATCAGGTAGGGAACTAATGGGCACAGGTCCCCATAAGCTTACACAAAAATTGTCCCAGTCAAAGTTGCTGAAGAACTCCAGAAAACGGTAAAGGACCTGTGAGTGTAAATAAAATACTTCAGAGGGACAATCTAACATTCAAAATTTTGTGACATAAATAGTAACTAAAAGTCTAAAACTACCTCAAGTGGTCCATGAAAGGAATTGTTGTAAACGTGAAAGATGTAAAGAACTAAGGTCTCCAGAGCATAAGTAGAAATAAGTCCATGATGAGCCCCCAATATACGGCTTTCATAATAACACCATGCCTTAATCAATATAATGCTACGCTTGAACAGATGATTTTGATTAATCAGATTATCAACCTACAGAAGAATATGTCATAAAGTTATTCTCATTTGTTCATCAAATTTCAAGAATATGATGAGAGCCCAGATTCAAAGGTTACAAATTTCGAAATAAATACTAACCTCTCCAAGGAAGCACAGCGTACATAAACCACCAACCTGATTAAAGGATATGTCTACCACAATATTTTCCACTAGACATTTAATTATCTTCACCTGCAATAGTGAAAAGGTAAGAAGTCAAATAAAAATCATGTAGCAGTAGAAGAAAAGAAAGCAAAACTAAATTTTCCTAAGAAGCCAAATAGAAATTATGTAGCAGTAGAAGAAAAGAAAGCAAAACTAAATTTTCTTTCAGCGAATGCATAGTCGAGAAATCTAAGAAACTTGTTGATGGGAGATTGGCAACTCATGGGGGGGGTAAGAATACGGCAACTTCTGAAATATAAAAGGGATCCAAACCATCACAGTGAAGAATTAAAACTCTAAACCCCAGGAACTTTTCTAACAGTGTAGAAACAGAAAGGATGTCTGATGTAATAGGAAACACATTTTTTTGTCTTGGACCTGGTAGGATAATACAACATGCAATCTTTTACAAAGCAGAATTCTCCCATTCATCACCCTTACTGGCACTACATTAATATAAGAGAGATATGGGACGCCATACACCAAGGACAAAAGTTCACATTGATAGTTGAAAATGAATAACATATATAGGTTTCATCGTGTATGGCGTATATTGATGCAACATAATTCTCCAGCAAAGTACATACTTATGCAGGATGAGGTGCTTCTCCATGAGAGGCTGCACACAACAATTTAGAATAATTCTTCACTAGTGACTGGTGCATAACCTTATTGCAGTGCTCCTGTGAACACAACTATACTCATCTTAGAAAACAGCAAGATTTGATGTACAGAAATTCCTGTATCCAGTCAGTTTTCTTGTACACATAGTGACTACTTATGGTGATAGCAACCATCAAAAAATCATTTCAGGTGGGACTTGCGTAAAACCAAAGGCTTTGACAAAAGTATACACATAAAATGCAGCAAAACAACTAATTCACACAGTTAATGATAATTGTGAAGTAAAGAACCTAGATATATGCTAAAGATCTTGAAGATGGATTCTCAACACAACCAAAATCAACACATCAGAAGTACAAAAATTTAGGATATGGACGTCATACTTCTGCTTGAATATACTGAACTTCCTTCACATGAAATTCAGCATTCTCATTCTTCTCCTCGTTCTCCAGCATATCACGAACTTGACTGGCCCATGTATCTTTTAAATTGTGATCATTACTGAAAGCAGTCAAATCAATGTCTCCATCAGGTAAATAAGTCTTCAAGGGTACAGACCCAAAGGTACAAACCTGGGAAAAAAATATAAAGGGTAAGATAATATGAGCAACAAGGAAACAAAATAGGAATCATTGAACATATGAAATATTCATTTAAAATAAAGAACAATTCCAACTAATTGTACCATGAGACACAGATCAATTATAACAGAGTTTCGCAGTACTTAATACTACCAACTTCTCCATGTTTGACAATGATGGTAGCATACTTTCCCAATCTCAACAACAGCTATTCTACCGACTCACAATGCGAGTTTCAAAATATTAGCCATTCATCAAAGTAATTGATGCAACCACTGCGTCTACTAACAAGAACTTCAACATATCTTCAACATCTTCTACAAAGGTTGATTTTGGCCAGGAAGAAACCTTCTTAGTTTTCCGTCATATTATTCTTCATCTGTGATCCAACTTAAAAACTATCAAATTGTGAGTGTTACCCCCATTAAAGATAACCTTCCATCAGAGGGGTAGGACAACTTGGCCTTCAGCTCGACCAGCTTGAATGTTCTCTTCTTATTCTCTCTCTTCTTCTCGTGTCTTGATATACATACAAAAAATTCTAAGTATAACACCATAAATCACTTTCGCACATTCACTCCCTTACAAAGTCGCTCACATACATGAACAAATATTTTAGGCACAAATTTCAAATGTAAATAAGGAGAAATTCTTCATCTTCAAACAATGGGATGTTTTGGATAATAAAATTTTACTAGAGGAGAGAAAGGTTGCTAGAAAGAAAATTTTAATAAAAAGTTGGATTTTATTTTCTTCCTATTTTGTTCTTTCTAAAGATGTTTCCTCTAAATTTGTAACATCACTTTCTCTTACCACTAAACCACTAAAAACAAATATTCTAAATCTACCAGATTTACCCAGCAATTGTACAAGAACTTCTGTTGGGCCATTCAAAATTTGGACTGTATGAATCAAAAAACAGCATTCAATGTTTAAAAAGGTTTAATAGGGTATTGAGGCATTTTATCTCCATGAGGCAATGCGAGGCGTAAGCCTCAAGATAGAACAATAAAAAGAATTCAAAGAACAAAAATACAAAAATATGCTCTTAATATTCCATAAACCTTTTAAAACAATCCATGGTAAAACTAATTAAAAAATTAAAAACAAACATAAAATAGATAAAGAAAATAGAATATAATAAGTTCACAAATAAGTAATCATGTAACAAAATTATAACCAACTACTGTAAGTGGAGATAACTCAACATTTCTTATATCACACTACTAATAAGGGAATCATTAATCATAATCATTATCCTCATCATAAGTTTCTATCCTCGTCCTCCAACTGCAATGGTGTATTTTCCTTCCCAATTTTTTTTTTTTTTTCCTATTTAGGTAGGAAAAAAAAAATACAAGAACTCGTAAAATAATATTTTAGGCTATAATGAGTAATAAAAAGCTAATGCCAATAATTAAATGTTTAAAAAACGCAAGGCAAGCTGGTGAACACCTTAGTTGGCTTGAAGCTCAGGCTTGAGCCTTACTAGTAGTCGCCTTGTAAACCTAGGTAAAATCAAGGCATAAGTCTCACAAATGACATTATGGTGCGCTTTTTATGATAGCCTCACATGAAGCAGGGTCGATTTGTAAATCCTCAATACACTTTTTAAAACCATGACTTCATTTCAAACATCAACACACTGGTCAAAACTACTACTACTGCGATGCCAAAATCAAACTTCAAGAAATAACTTCCAACGCAAGTACAATCATAGTCTTATAATAATATCAATGTTGACGTAAAACAATTCTAATCATAGTGTCACTTTTTTCATATGTTATATTCAAACATTAATCCAATTAAAGCAAAATTTATAGGCTGCATGATTCAATTTCCTATTTCTGCAAATGCCAATATACCATTATTGCCACTTATAAACCTAATTATGGTACAACTTTTTTTGCAGAATAGGTAAAAAACAAGCAACTTATTTGTAATGACCTGACAAGGAAAGCATTTCATGATCAGCCGCTGCACGTAATCTGCAACCGCATTCCTGCGCTCCTCAGATGGGGGATTGGGTTGAATGCAGGCAATGAGCTCTGACGTCCTGTCCTCCGCTTTCAACCATCTGTCCGTTTCAAGGGAACGCATCACCAAGCCTGTTCCTGACAACAGCCCATTTGGCAATGGCCCGCTTGGGTCCGCCCATCCCTCTTGTTCTCCCATACACTGAAACCTTTTCTAATATCCCCAACAATTTAGGGTGGATAACAAAATACCGTTTGCAATCCGAAACTGAAAATCCAGACCTCGCACAGCCCAGAAAATGTTGTCCACAGAAATTAAAAGTAATTTACTTTCCAGAGAAATAGAAATATTGGGCGGTATGTTGTTGTGTATATAGGACCCAGGAAAGAACAGTAGCGGCGTCAAATCTATTACAGAGATGTGCCGATATAACTGAGATACAAATAGTACTTTTACGCTGATTATTAGAATTGATGTCAATAAAATTCAAGTAAAGGTTTAAAAAAAAAAAATACACTAAAAAGCAGTCCAACAGAAAAATACTTAATCAAAATTTCAAAAGTTCAAGAATAATAAAACCCTAAGTGAATAGATTCAGAAATTAGTGCAATGTCGACGAAATCAAATCAACTCCAACAAAAAGACAAAAATTAAATTAAAGTTGAAGAGCCCTCCGTATTTTCTGGCCTTATCGCTTCAAAACGCAATTCGATTTTCCGTATGAAAACTGTAAGGATCGTGAAATTGTACAGAGAAAAAGAAAAAAGGGGTACTTTTTCTCTTTTCCTATTTTATTTGTTCTTCTTTCCGGTTTAGAAATGGAATTTGGCGGAGAGATAGAGAGACTCTTTGTGCTTGCGTGCGTATTATGACGACAAAATTGAAAACAATTTGGCCTTGAAGGATTTGATTTGGTTGCAGTGCGCGAGTTTTGGGGGAAATTGGAGATGGTGAAATTGAGGAGGTGGGCTTGGGTGAGTTGGAGTTGAAACATACAATATTGGGAAAATGCTCGATGAGGAAATGCGGAGATTATAAAATTCTAAAGAATAATTGATATTGATATTAGGATGTATTGTGACTTAATTATTTTGAACATAATTCAATTACATTTATTGAAGGGAGAATTGGTCATTCATATCTACAAAAATACATCCAAATTTCCTATGTGAAGTTTGCATATCCCAACAACAAGGACCTTGGCTGAGAAAATTGGCATGGTACGGGTGATATTTTGACCATGCTTTGTCATGGTCAAAAGCGTGCAGAATGTTCGAACAATAGCACATTCGGGAGGGAATCAAGCAAGACATTCGCATTGGTTTTGGAATAACACAATAATCAAGGCATGACTCTGCTAATTTGCTTTATGGCAGTATCGCGAAATGGAATCCAAGACGCATATCGAATTTGGCATTGATTGATGCATTGATGCCGGCAAGTGATCGACAGCATTGAGACCTTGCTGTCCTGTTGACTTTAGTCCACGAATTCAGTGGTCAAAATAAGAATAAGGGTGGCATGTGACGCACAATTACAATCAGTTATGCATGTGATTGAGTGGGCTGACAGTTTTCAGTCAAGAGGGGTGAAAATGTGAAAAAATGCCCCAATAGTTGGGGCTATCAACTGCAATTCAAAAATGAATGTTTCTCTATAAATTCAAGGGTTGAGTACTTAGTTTGATAGAGAGAAAAATACAAGTTTGGGGAGTTTGATTCAAGCAACAAAGTGTTGTGTGCTGCCATCGCAGGAAAGTCAAGACAGCCCAATGACACCAACCATGGTATGATGTATTTGATCCTTTCGTCCTAACATGTTCCATGTCAAGTTCAATCTCCACAGACTTATTTTACGTCCCCCAGTAAAATCATTACATATGGTTACTAAATCTAGATTTTGCTGCCAAATTTAGATCAATGCTCAAATTTTTAAAGTTAGGCATATTTTATGAACTTTGGTGACAGTTTAATAAAAATTTAGACAATTATCATAATCGTAATGTGCTACTAAGATGAAAAATTTTGAGACTTGCCCGTTTGGTTTTTTAAATGTCAAGGACCAACTTGATGCTCGAGCAACAAGTTGGGAATGATTGTTATATTTTGCCTTCAAATTTTGTAGCAGAATATTTGAAAATAAAGATAACATGCTAGTGTGTGACTAATTAAATGAAATATTTGAAATTAAGCCCATGTTTGAGCCACATTATGGGAAAAAGTGTATTATTTATGTCAAATCAATAGGAAATGTGTGGTCAAAAAATAATGAAAAATTTTAAATTTACGCGTAATATTATTTTATTGAAGAATGTATGGTTGAAATGATGTCAGATCACTATGAAGAATGTATATTTTTAAAAAATAATGTGGCTCAAACAAGCCCTAAATTCAAGTGTATTTATAAAAGAAAATTCAGGATGCATCGCGATTTGGCAAAGATTTAAGAAAAAAAAAAAATCATTTTTAGACCACATATTTTATGATACTCATAACTTTTTCGTAATTTTTGAACCTACATTTTTTTTTAAAAAAAAATTATTTTTTTTCTTTCAAAAATCTCCCCAAACACATAAAGATTTTCAAAAGTAAAAAAAAAAAAAAAAAAAAAAAAACGTGGTATTCTTTTGAGGCCTAAACCTAACATTGTAAGAGGTCCTTTTTCTTTTTGGAATGAGAGGAAATGACAATTGCTTGGGGGGCTAAATTGATTTTAGGCTTTTATCTCTCTATTATATTTACATAGAAAAGGTTTGCACGTTGATATTGACATATTGTGTTTGAATTTAAGCTAAAACGGCTTGCTATTTATTCCCTTGACAACTGCTCCTCGTCTTAGTCAAAATTTACCAAACTTACCATTATTGTCATATGGTGAGTTTAGGAACCATTTTTGTTCGAGAACTTTAAACACTCCCTAATGCTACGATGATCTACGTCGATTATATGTGCCTCAGTTGTCTTCAAGTGAATTCAACTTGTTTACTTGAACGATGGGATTCATTTTCTAGTATACTTCATCTAGATGCACATGTTGGGCTCTTCTTGTTAAACTTTACATGTATGTCGGAATGTTTCCTGACCTACAACAAGTTGTCTTTAACTTTGTTAAAGAAGTGAAAACTTTTTGATACTAACTTAGCTTGTTTGTCCATTGCAATGTTGCTGCTGATTTATATGACTTTAATGTCAGGAATCTTAAGGTTTTGACCCTGGGCAAAGGTCAGTAGGCGGGGTTTTCCTAGTGGTAACAGATTACAACGTATGAGTTTGACCGTCGATGATGCCACTTTGGGTAACAGAATCCAGGAGATACCAATCTTTCATGATAGCTTGCTCGATCTTCATATAGTTAACTATTGCATCCTCCGTATTTCTATTAGGTGATTATATATGCTTAATTATATTCTAAATTTTCAATCAACTGTGCAAAAATTTTCTAAATCGCAGCCCATGTTTGGACTCCATTTTAATTTTAATACATTTTTCTTTTTTCTTTTCAACTACACATTATTCAATAAAATGATAGTACACGTAAATTCTAAATTTTTCCTTCTATTTTAATCTCACATTCTTCAAAAAATCACCATTTCAACTCATAAAATGGAGTCCAAACAAGGGATATTGTTTTTCAGGTACCCCCAACTTAAAATAGTTTATGTAATATATACTTGTTGAGGTTGTTGAAATCTGGATTTTTCTATGTATTGTAGGTTCTTGAGCTCGATAATTGCCGCTAATTGACATCAGTATCATCGGACCTGCCATTCCCAAAGAACATGAGGCTTGTGTATTGTCGCTAGTATGTTCTACTCTTGCTACCCTGATTTCTGAGCCTTTGCATCTAGTATAATACTTCTGCTAAGAATGACTTGCTGGAAATTTGTATATGAAATTGGTTTTGACCAATTCTTAATTATTTAAATAGAAGTTGTTGTTCGGTGAATGAAAATTAAGGCAAATTTAAATCATTTAAATATGTGAACTATTGGAAAATTATGTAGAATATTATGGAATATTCAAAAAATTGTTTGGCTGAAAAGGTGTCTTTTTATATGAAAGATTATGACTTTTGACATTATCATTTTTCAAGAGATGTATCTCTTTAAAAATAGAGATTAATTTCAATAGTTGTGTCTTTTGAGACAAGACTTTTCAATATCTATATATAGATCCCATGTGCTCATTCATTCATTCACTTCGTAATAGCATTATCATACTAATACACATTCACTTCAAAGATCTTCATTTATTTGGAGTCGAGTTTCATATAAAGAGGGTTCAAAACATAAATAGGTTCGTTAGTCTACGTAATTTAGAGTGCTCCTATTGCAAGGCATGATCATTGTATTTTGGGAGACGAATACCGAAAAACTGTTAACATCCGTGTGGGGCATGATTGTCTTAAGGTGAAAGAGTCGAACTTTTGCCTCGACCATCTTCAGATTTATGCATTTCTCATTTCTACTTTACATAGTCGATTTTGGTGAGTCAAAATTTTGTCCAATTTTATGCACATAAAAAATATGTTATTTGAATATAATTTATGCATGTCTATTTTTCCAACATGACTCAATATTTTCATGCTTGTGGATTTGTTGGTTTAAATCTAAGAAGCAGCATGTTGTCATCAATTACAGTTTTAAATTGTCCTTCTCTTGGAAGAATCACATCCAATACCCTTAAAATATGTATTCAATTGAAGGAAAATTTTCCCCCCATCTATTGGTTATCCTTTACATAGATAATGCTTCTCCTATAAATTTTTTGTAGTTAGATCGCAGGAATAATTTTTTTTCCTTCAACTTTTTCTTTCATAAATTAGTTTTGCAGATGCAAGAAAGCTCGACCTCACTGGCATTGCAATGCCCATTCTTGCAAGAAGTAGACCTCTGATGAGTGATTTACACTCATTATATTGTGCTATTAATTTTATGATTTTGCTATCTTGGAGAGTATTTTAGAAGTGGTAACAAGTGATTTTGGTGTTGTTTTGTAGATTGATGGAAGTGGAGAAAACAAGAGCTAAAAGAAGTTAAAGGAAGGAAATAGGCAAAAGCTAGCGAAATTGGATGAAATGACCAAAACGTAAGAGATCCAAAGTTCGAGGATTAAAATGCAATTAATCAAAAGTCGTGTCGAAACTTGAAATGAAGATCCGAGAGTTCTAGAAGCCAATTGGATGAACGAAGGTGTCAAAGGGATCAAATTTAGTCAAAATATGATCATAAATCATTTTCCAACCAAAAAGTTTTGCACAGGAGTTTTGGTCTCATATTTAGACTCATTTTGACATAGAAAACGATTGAATTTGAGAATGATTCCTGAAGCAAAATTGTATTCCTTTGAATTAGCTTTCCAACGCATCTTGAATAACTTCAATCGGATATCAAACGAAAAAGTTATGACAAAAATACTGAAAGCTGTCCAGTGCAACCGAAGTAGTTCTTAGCGCCCAAGCGCCATGATGCTGAAATTTTGATAGAAAGTCAACGCCTAGGCGCCCAGGCGCCGTCGTGTGAGAGTAACTTTTTTAGGTTTTTACCATTCTTTTTCGGCCAAACTCATCTCCAAATCTTTTCCTAAAATCCAAGACATTATAAACATAGAACTGAAGACCTAAATGAGAGGGGAGCCGCACACTAAAAATCTATTGGAGAGAAGACAATAAGAAGGGAGATTGAAAAGAGAAATTCAAGAAGATTAACACCAAGCAATTGAAGATTAGAAGCATTCATTGGAAGGGAAAGGAGATCTTGGTGCAAGAATTCTACTTTTTCTTCTACATCTTTATTACAAATCCGGTGATGTATTCTAAGACAATTTCCTATTTTTCTTCCATTATTATGAGTAGTTAAATTTGATTTTAGGGCGAACAATGTAATCTTTTGGAATCCTTTATTTCATGCAATTGAGATTCTAGTACTTTTATATTTTATGTGTTGATTTTAATGTTGTTCTTAATACATTTAATTACTTGATCACTAATTAGATGATTTGTGAACAATGATTGCGTAGAGATGCGGATTATTTGTTTA